AGCAAATATGGGTTTTTTTATCTATGCAAAAACATAACCTCAAGAATATGTATTTCATTATCTAGCTAGAAGTTTAGGCACTGTAGTTTGGAGATATACTAGGAACAAATTGGATTTAATAGGAAAAAATATTCAAATGTTATTTGTTGAACACATGGGAAGCTTCAATAAATCATTTAAACTGCTTTTAATTATAAAATTTAGGAATATGCCAGTACAGTTAATAAGCAAGGTCCAGTGAATACACAGAATTCCTTGGCCTGAGCCCTATCCACACTTCTCTCCATAAATCCCTTCTTGCCTCAGAGAAGATTAAAATAGATCCACAAAATTATTTGAGGTACATAACTCTTTGGTTATCATATCTGGGATTTGAAATGAGATTAGAATCTCAAGTTTCTGAAATACAGAGAGATAGAGGGATTAATCTTTTATCTAAATATATTTCTAAAAAAGAAATAAGTATTTGTTACCATTATGAAGTATGAATACGGCCTGCATCTTATTTTCTAGTTCAGCATGTCACTAAAAATAAAGGGCCAAAAGTTCTGCCTTCTGAATTTGGAAACAGTTTGTTGTATGTGATTTATACCAGCCCCCTCATTACAGAAAACCTTTTCACCATGTGATTGTGTGTATAAGAACAATTATGGAAATTCTGAATTCTCAGTGTTTTCTTTAGAGGGACTGAGGGGCTGTGAAAGGTGCTGGAGTGACAGCTCTTCTGAGAGAATAGCAATGGAGTTTTTGTTTGCACCTTGCCAGGTATGGAATTTATCCCTGACCCTGAGAAGTGCCCATTTCATCCCTGGGCTCACGTGGGAAGGGTTCCTGTGTGGGGCTGACCCTCCTGTCCCCCAGCACTGTCAGCAAGGCATTTGCTACAGCTGCAGGCTCACCTTTTCTCTTATTGGACAGAAAGAAAAATCTTCTAAAAGTTAAGGTAATTAAAGAACTTCCTGCAAGAAATTCCTGATCATTCAAGTATGCCGTACTTCCACACTGTCTGCATAAGAGGCAATGGATTATGTTCTTCACAGATGAAATTTTTTTCTTGCCATTTTTAAGGTATGGGACATTTGGATTTGTTTTGCCTTTTAGAAATAATATAAGGTAACATTCTGGGGTTTGATACAATATTTGGAGGAAAAAAATCTCTACCCCAAGTCACTTCTGTTTTGCTGCCCAATTAAAAAAGTATTAATTATGGAAGGAGAAAAACAGGCTGGAACAGATACAAAAAAATTACATATAAATTTGATTAAAAGATTACTCTATTGTTCAACAACAATGCACAGTTCTTACCTTAGAAAAACAATTCCAGTATTAAGAACAGCAGAACCTATATTTACCATAAGGGAGGTTTATCATGACAAAACAATTGGGATCCAGTCTTAAAATTCTCATCAGATGGTAACCATGACACAAGAAATAAGCATGAAATATTTCTGCATATCTTCAGTCTTCTAGTTCACAAGAGATAAGGGTGAAGAAGGCAAATAATTTCACACATAAGTGATAAAATTAGGAGATGAAAGGGAAACAAGAAGCAAGAGAAAAGGAGGCAGAAAAGTTAGATTTTTTAAAACCCTAAGTTAAATTTAAATGATATGTATAATCTGGGAGACACAAACACTGTGATTCTAAATTTATCATGTGAAGTGTCTACACACCCTTTTAAAACCTGTACTTACAGACTTTTGAAGTGACATTTTTTAATATAGATGGGCATGGTCAAAACCCAAGCAAAGGTTTTCTGGGTGCCATTTCTTAGCTCTAGGTGAAATTCATACTCTGTGACTGCAAAACAAGGAGCAGGCAAAGCTGGTTCTAGGAAATCTCAATGGGAATTTTAGTCAGTTCTGTTGTGGAAAATGTACTGAATAATGGTATTTGATATTCAGTGTCTCCTGCAAACTGACAGTGTTGGAATTTCCCTTCCTTGAAGCATGTATTTGATATCTGGCCTTCTTTTTGTCCCCTTGCTCATTTATATGTGTGTGGTTTTCCTTTTAACCCCCCACCCTTTTTTAATTTAAATAAAACTCTGGGGGAAAAAGAAGCAACAGAAGATCACAGGATGTGAAGATGCCATTCTGGGAACTAGCAAGCAGCCTCAACAGTGAAAGAAGCCAAGTGATCTTTCAAGTGGGCTATTACTGTAGTTGTGGAAGCAGAATAATGAAACTGAACAGAATAATTGGCCTAAATATCTGGTTAGAGGGCTGGTACAGAGAAAAGAGCATGAAAGGCTCCACTAAAACCACAGAAAGGTGGGTGTTCCTGCAATCAGCACAGGAAAAAAGCATTGAAGAAGTCTGTAAACTAAGGAAGAGGGGGAGGGGAACCACTGGAAAGAAATCCAAGCAGAGGAGGGGGAAGGGGGGAAAAATGCCCACTAAATCTGAAAGTCTAGAGGAAAAGAAAGCGGTTGATTGTATGTGCTGACATTCCAAGGATGGCAGTTGGGAAACAGCAATCAGAGCAGCAGTATCAGAGGTACACACTGTCAGAGCAATACGGGTGACTCCTGAGATGTACCTGGGAACAATTTCATGTATTTTTTTAAACAAAGACACAACACAACCTGTAAATATATATATAGATATATATACACATACACACGCATATATATATATATGTAAGAAGAACTTCAGCTATCACTTCAAAGAGAAAAGAGGCAACCATCTTCTCTTAACTAATCATTTCCATCAGCTGAAGGTTTATCATATGACTTCTGAATAGTCAGTAAAATCAGATGTTATGGTCATCCACATCAACACTTACATCAGAAAACATCTGAGGATGTAAGATCCAGTTTAACCATTCTCTATATCTGCATATCAGAGATTCTTGCAGTGATTGAGGTGAAAGATTAGGGTATCAGCATTTTCCACACTCTTCCTCTGAGCTCCTGACAGTCACTCTGTAAGAGACCATTAACAGTCCAACCCCAAATGTATCCTATCTTCAGTTCTGATCACAGAAACACAAAAAGCAGCTGATATTCCTGTTAATGAATGATTATTAAAATGACAGCATCAATAGATGAGAATTACATCTCATTTTCAAATCTCTTCATTTACTTTTTTCCACTCACATAATCAGCTGATCCCAAATTATCCCTCTCACTTTTACAGAATCTTTAAGAAGTCTTCTATGACTCAGATGCCTTCTTTGCACCTTCTTCCTTTTCAAGCTACTTGCTTGTACCTCTGCTTCACTGGCTCCATAATTACAAATCTGATCTGAAAATATTTCTTATCCTTTCTAATATTTTTCTCAGCTCTTCTAGCAAGAAGATTATTTTGCTGACCATTCTGCACAACTCTCTTTCTTGTTGTACATATACTGTGTTTGGAAACCCAGTATGTTAAAAAAGGCTGTGAAGACCAATGTGCGCTGTGTATGCACAAATGGGATGTGTAAATTATGGGGATCGTTGAAAAAAGAGCAAGATCACAGGGGAATACTGGGAGTTGTAAGGAAACATTAAGGTTCTTAAGACCACAAGTCTCCACTAGACCTCAACAGGGTTTGTATTCCTAAAACTGGTTTTAAATACTACAGCTAGTAATAAACAAATAACACTTCATTGTACTACAGCCTTACTCAAAATTCATCATTAAGGTTCAAGAACTTGGAGTAATAGAACTACAAGAAAATATTCACAACAGAAATGTGGGTAAGTTACACTAAGAAATAAACAGAAATAACTGAGGCTTCTGAATATACTGATGTTCATAATTAATTAAAGACAAACCCAAACAATTCTCTCTGACCATATAGTAACACTGTTATCCTATTTTCCCTTTCATCTTCTTTTCATAACATAGTTGTGCTGTTGCTTTTACATAAAGACAATTATGGTTTGTAGCTTTGTTTTGTTTTGCTTTTAAGACTGCTCTAAGAAGTTTGAAGACATGATGTAGACATGAGTGGTATTTTAGATTTAAAAAAAAACATAAAGCAGAGTTGCATAACTCTCTATAATCACAGTGAACACTTAGACACTAAGTACAAGGATATATATAGTAATATATTCAATAATATTATCTCTTCTACATACACAAGATCATCAAGAAATCTACAGGAGTTTCCTAGTAAACAATTTAAGTATATTTTACTGTATTTTTCCCTGTCCATATTACTCTAAAAAATTTCAGTAACTTCTATTCATTTTCAGCTAAGACTCCAGTGCAATGCTTTCACATAACAGAAATTTTTTCTTTTCAAAGCCTCTATGGGAAACCTTAACCCTGACTGCACCTATGTTTCCATCTGGAGTGTGCCAAGTTTCAGGGATTTGGCAGACTTGCATACACAAGAGTTGACTAGCTCTGTAATTAATTTTATGTGCATGAAAGCATAAATGCATATTGTGTATACATTTCATCATCTGGTTCTTTCCTTGAATGAAGAGAGAGGAAGGAAGGAAGGAAGGAAGGAAGGAAGGAAGGAAGGAAGGAAGGAAGGAAGGAAGGAATTGTCATGTGCCCATGAGTTCATTTCAAGCACAGTCCCTTGTTTTATTTTATACTGCATCCAGTTATATCCCTACAATGTTTTTTTAGTCCATGGCATCTAATGATGCTGCCTCTTCTCTGAGCTTCAAATGTACTGAGGAGTTGCATTCTAAGTCATTACAATATTAGGAAACACACTGAAGATAAAAATGCATTTATATTTCCCAAATCAATTGCATCTGAAAATAGTAAGAATTTGGCAATGAATACAATTGCTTCAGTGATCTAATCTAGAAATTTCAACACCTGCTAGTCCTGAACAAAATTTTGCAAAGCACTTTTTGTTCATTTGCCCATCTCCCATTTTGCACTCTGGTATTCAGATTGTTGTGAGACATCTGTAAAAATTATCTGCAGTGCCTCTATTGCCATAATGCAGACAATCCAGCAGGTTTCCTCATGAACTGCAGAAGCAAAAGCAAGCACCTCTCCACGCTGCACACCAGTGTGCATTTTTGCCTGTTTGATAAGGCTTTCAGTAGAGTTGCAGCGAGAGGAATTTCTAGCTGCCATTTGATGGACAGTCTGATCCTGGTTGGTTACTGTAAAACATCATCTGAAATAGAAGCATGGCATATTTTTAACTTCCTGACATACACAGCACAGTCTGCTGCTGAGGAATTTTCCTGTCCCCAAAGTGATGAGCAGACAAGGCACCACTGATGCTGCTCACGCTTTGCTCAGTGGGAGGTAATGCAAAAAGCAGCTCAACAACAAATATTATATCAACAGCGTGCTGCTCCTTCTTTCCCTCTCCCATCTCAGGTTCAGAGTTGGAAAGTGATAACAGACACGACAGACTGCAATCTTCTTCAAGCAAAAGGAGTGAAAAGAAGAAAAATAATTTGGTAAGTGATTGCTAGGAGAACAGAATTTACTGAAAATTCGCTGGGTTGAAGGTAAATAAATAACTGACCTCTGTATTCAGTGTGGTGCTGAGCAGCTACAGCCAGGGATAGAATGTGTCAGAGCAACAAATTATTTTCTCAGTTGTACTGACGTTACTGAGGGTCCTCTAAATTTATAGCTGGTGTTTCTCCAGCTCTGTAGTGATGATCTCAACCTGTCGGTTCATTGATGCTGCACTTACTATGATGCACTTATTAAGTGTGGGTGTATTTAGCATCAAATACTGACAACAAAACGTATCCCATACTTACTGACACATGAAACACAGAAAATTATTTCCCCAAATACAATGGCCAAAAGTTTAAAGCACCTGTTTCTTTGAATACACTACATAAAACAATGTTACGAAGGACGCACACGTTTTAATTCCTCAAAAACATAAAAATGAAGTGTTACAGAGATAGATCATGCAGGTATAAGAATTTAATTACTCAAGATAGCTTCAAAATCTTTCATTTGTGATATTTCTTAATTTTCAAGCAAAAAAAAATTCCCACCACATCCTACCTCTATGTCTGTATCTAACATAGATTGGTTTGGACTCCAAAGGTGCTGTTGATGACACAGCATAGATTAAAAGCAAATAATGTGAAGTATACAGAGCCTCAGAGTTTCCAGTCAATCGTGCTTATTTTTGGAAATGTTATTTTTGGACTGCAATCCCTTAACAGACCAGTCCATTAATAGGCTGTTACAGTTCATACAGAATTATCTGTCTGACAAACAATCCCTTTAGCATGTTATGAACCGGCTCCTCTATTGAACAAGAGTGCTGGTGATGCACATAACGTGTGTGCTTCTCCTGAAAATGCAGAGCCAGGAAGTTTAAATGCAAAAATATGCTAAATTATTTTTTTGGGTAAATGATTTATAGAAATTAATATGTAAGAGGGTGGTTACTCATTCCTGAGACAGCAACATGCAATCAGTGTATGTCCAGTTCTGTAAAGGACAATGGGAAATACAGACCTGGAGATCACACTCTCTAAATCCAACTCAGCCAGCACATTTAGTGTTTTCTATCTCATATTATTTGCCTTTACTTTCTTTCACTAACTTCTATTAAAATGCCTGCCCAGTTAGCCTACCTGTAGCTGAATCAGCTCTTACCTTCCTTGGATTTTGCACTTTAAATGAAGAAAAATTTCGCTTACATAACAATTTAAAAGAAAAAAAGAAAGAAGAAAAAAGACAAAAAAGAGAAAAGACATCTGTACACCTGCATATTACCATCATGTTTATAACAAACACAAATTTAAAAAATGCAAGAAGCAACAGAGTATCAGAGTATAATTCTAGTCAGAAGAGAAAACAGGTCGTTCCTATTGTTTAACCTAATAAAGACTATACTTCTGCCCTCCTCAGTCAATAAACAAAACAAACAAAATTATCCTACAGTTATTCTAGCTTTAGTGTGATGGCAAAAATATTTGTGGCCCCCAAATATGCCTATGTGTGTACTCCTGTGTGCACTGACAAAAAAATATTTTATCACCTCTAAGCTTGAGAGATTTACAGCAATATTGGTGGAGTACCTGGAATAAATTGTGATGTGCCAAGAGGTAGAGCATTTAAAAATAATATTCTTTCAATATCGTCCAAAATTATGACTCTGTTTCAATGTCTGTAATTCTAATAAAAAAGGAAAAGTTCTGATTTTATCAGTCTAAAGATACCAGAACTTCAATGTGCATTTTTGCTCTGTGAGGAAATAGAGCAATTAAAATACAATGATGACTCGGTGACATGTCATCTGTGGATGCACACGCCTATGAAAGTTCCGCTTCTGATCATAAACCTTCCATCTTCATTTTCCCTAACTTTCTAATTAATGTAAAAATCAGCACTTTTATTAGTTTAATTAGTGTTAATAGAGATGCATTTAAAATATTTCTAAAGTGAAATCAGAATGTGGAATTAAAATATGGAAGTATTCTATACAACTCTGAAACAATACAAATGTTTGTTGCATTCTTGTACCTCAGTGATCTGTTTTCATCCATCTGTATAGGCTGGACAAAAGCAGGTGTTTTCTCCACACATTAACAAACTTTCCTTTTTTATTAATCAATGCAAAGCTAACTGCAATATGCTAAAAGCTACCTTTTTAAACAAAGAACCACCATAAAGTTATTATAGTGTAAATTTAAACTCTACACTGACATCAACAGATACATTTTTCATTTTTCTTTTCTTTCTTTAAGTATTCAAAAATGCTATTTCTAAATACTACTATTTAACTTACAAAAAATGAATCTAGATACAGATTACTGTCATAGTGGCAAGATTCCAAACAAAAATATTCCACTAGAAATATGCATAAGAGAACAT